GAAAGAAAGAAAGAAAGAAAGAAAGAAAGAAAGAAAGAAAGAAAGAAAGAAAGAAAGAAAGAAAGATAGAGAGAGATAGAGATGCTTAGAGAAAGAGATGCAGCGTTAGAAGCTGGGACAACAAATGGGATAAGTGGTACGGTCAAGGGGATTTTCTTCACCTGTCTCTGATAAGCTGCAACTCTGTGCTTACGATGACGCCCAGTACTGACAATGCCGGTGAGATGTTTTGGAATGCACAAAGCCAACAGTTCCATGCTGGAAGTCATGAATGCTCTGGTAGGGGATGCAGTGCACAATTTCTCCCATTCGCTCCGACTGAGTTGTCAAAATGAGGTTACACCAGCATTAAATTGTTCTATCCAGGTCTCAGCCTCCGCACCTCATAAACCAGAATGGATTGACATGTCGCGCTGCTTTGCTCTATGATACTCATATCATTGTGGATAAATTCTTCTTCTACCAGTCCTTCATCACCTTAAACGAAATTGGGTGAATACACCTCATACTACTTATTTACTGGTAGTCACGAAAACAAAACTTAATTCGAAAAATACAGTTTAGGTGACACATGTGCAAGGCTCGAGTAAAAAGTGACTCCGAAAAAGGGGAATGTGAATTTGACTATGAGGTGGTATCTCATCTCATCTCATCTCCTTTCATTTAATCTCATCTCATCTCATCTCAACTCAACTCATATTACTTGAATGAGAACAACTTTTTGGAAAGCGAGGCCATGTGAAATTGAATGTAAGCGTCAGCTCAACTCATATGATTGTGTGAAAATTCTTCTTCTACCAGTCCTTCATCAGCTTAAACGAAATAGGGTGAATACACCTCATATTTCTATGATACAAGTTAACTGGACACGGGGATACGTATCGGGCATTTTGCTGGCCTATACTCTCCAACTCACACTAAATACTACACTTCACACTAACCTTGGCTAGAATGCATTCAGCCTCATTGTTGCTGGTGCTAAGTGCCCATCGCATCAGCTTCATGAATCGCCTGGGCTCGCTTATTAATCTGGCAGATATGGAAAAATCCTGCCCAGTCGTAAGGTCTTCAGCTTCGTCTTCATTTTCCTCTCCTCTGTCATCGCTTCGGTCGGACTCGAGCCGTTTCACAAGACTGCCAGCGTATGTTAGCCAGTTTGTGCACTTACGGACGACCTCGGACGGGTCATGTTCGAAATGTTTTGTGAGTCTTGTCGCATGACTTGTTCCCGTTGCCCCCGAGAGATGGACGCCGCCACAGGCGCAGGGGCGTACCATTGCAGCCAATTTGCTCCACAGTCGGGCACCTTCGTGGCGCACGGTGTCCAGAAGGAGTATCTGCAGTCGAGTGGACGTGGCCTCGGGGAACTGGCAGGAATCATCAATCATCCGGCTCGGCTGACCCCTTTCTCGGATGGTGCAGGCCGATGAATTGGCTCTCATTCGCAAATAGGGCAGCTTTTCGAGGGGCTCTTCAAGTTGGCCAAGGAGTCTGTAAATAGGACACAAAAATATGACACAAAGCAGAAGACTGCGGCCGCATGGGCAGCTATCCTGACTGGACTCGTCCTAATCACACAACCATTATTTGAAGATGATGACATGCGTCAAGTTTGTG